CCTTTCTTTGCTGCCCACCCCCTACGTGAAGTGAACTTCTGAATTTTTCTCTTAGAGTCCATTTCCGTTCAGGTCCACTCTCTGAAGTTGCTCACCAGCACTCTGATATAAGACTTTTAAATGTACTCTGCACCGTCATCTCTGGATGGCAGTGTCATATTTCTTCTCTTGGACTATTATTTGGACTTTTTGACAATAATTATAGGTGAAAAATATAGGAACATTAAATTACATCAATAGGAACACACATATATTGCCAATGAAAAATTAAAAAAGAGAATGAACTTTAAAATAAAATTTCATGTCAGAATAGGCCTATAAACTGAGTTATTTTTTAAAAAATAACTACCAGCTACCTTGGCTAAATAAATTAATAGTAAATTTCTGCTACTGGATAACAGGAAGATATAACCTTATAAACAAGTATAGCACAACCACTGCTGTGATATATTTAGAGAATTAGCAAAATTTAGTCTCGTGCATTTAATATGCAGCGGAAAACTACTGTGCCACCCGTCACTTTTTCAGCTGGAGGTATTGGTTTCTTCTGCTTTATTCTTAATTCTTTCTGTAGGTATTAGTAATGTTATATGGATCAAGTGCAATTTTTGATTCTGGCATGTTGCTCTGTTTGAACTATTACAGTGTAGAATTATTTCAAGTTGCTATTAACATGAGGTATGTCCTTTATATTTCCATATAGCTTTCTGCTGAGTGAAAAAAATTGATGTAGTGAAACTGCTAACAAGCTGAGCCTTTGAAACTATGGGCAGGTGATGAAAGCCACCTCATGTCTAAAGCATCCCCAGGTCACAGCTGTCACACTCACTGCAATTCATTGCTGTCACAATCTGCTGTCCCTGCTTGTTGTTGCTCTCCTCTTATTCATCCAACTCATATATCTAAACATTCCATTACAAAAAGACATCTAATGTTTGTCTCGTGTTCAAAAGGGCACAACACTCTTCTGAAATATATTTCTGAAGATTTTAGAGCTCAGAGTTCACTGCCAAATCTAAGGTGTTGCTTTGTAAGGCTTCCCTTGTAATTTTGTCTTTGTCTCATCTCCTGAACATAGCAGGATAAAATGTTTGGTTAGTACATGATCTCAGCCTTATTCCAACTTCTTATCATGAAGAAATGAACTATTGCCCAGTAATAGAAAGGCATTTGAAGCTTTGTGAGTTTAAAGATAACAGCACTAACTGTGAACTCAGTGAATTGGAAGGAAAGGTCAGCAAGTCATCTACTGTGGCACTGTTCACAAAGGCAATTCTTCTATCCAATGAACCAGGTTGTTTATAATCTGAAGACTCAGATTTTCTAAGACTTAATTTTGTTCTTTGTTACTTAATTAGATAAGGTTACTATTGATTTACTTTTCAGAGCCGAAATTTCTCATAGGTCTCCTAACTTTCAAGCAGAGTTTAAACTTGTAAACATCTTGTACTCTAATTTTAAATCTATACTGTCATTTCAGGTTACAACTATGAACTCCAAGATGAGTGATTCACAAACTTTTCAAATCAGCTTGCAGAAACATTGTCACTGAGGAAAAACATTTAAGTAAAATGAGCCAGAAGAAAACAAACTCAAAAAGTCTGAAAATGTAGCAGTACAAGAAAGGAACATATGATTCTAATAACAAACAGTTCTGTGAAAGAGAGCAACAGCACTATTTATCTATTCCTGTAAAAATAAAGACAAAGGAGGTTTGACCTTCTCACTTACATCTATTCTCTAAGGTATTTATTTTGATTGTAGTGTAAGTTATTATTCATAATCTTTATATTGCTAGTGCAAGGTTCAAACACTATGCTGATTAGAGAGTTTCCTGCTCAACTGCTCGGTGCATATAATTCAGTGGACACTAAAATCACAGCCTCTGACTACGCCTAGTGAGGAACAGGTAGATTGCGAGTGACATTATGTCCATGTTCATGGGAAGAAAATCCCCCTAACAATGACCTCATGCTTTTATGTTGCTGGGGTTTATGTTTCAATCCCGCTCAGTATTAAAAAATAGGAACATAATTACTTGGCCATCCTATCTCTATCCACATGACCATATTCATCTGCGACAGGCAAAACCAGAGGACATAAATCTAGACATACGTTGTATCACAAATGAGTTGAAGGAAAGAGTAGGAAAGGCCTGCAAGAGTAAATTCCTGAGCCCTTACAGTATTATTGAAATAACTATGTGCAGCTAGATCTTATAGTGAGTTTTGGATGGCAGATTAACCCTTGTGTTCACGTATTTACCTGTAGTATAAATGCATTGTGGGCAATATCTCACAGGCCTTGACTGGAGAAGTCACGGCAGCACTTAGGTAGTGTCTTCATCAGGTTCTATGTAAAGTTCCCAAAACTCTAACTTAATCATGCAAACTTTAAAAAATGTATATTTCAAGCTTGAGTGAGCACACTTTTCTAAATAGAACTTAGGTTAATTTGGCTATTTAGAAACACTTCATTGTAAATCCACCTCTTTTTAATTTATGGTTATGTGCAAACCAGATGGGAACACGAAACCTGGTTTGTTAAATAACTTGCACAAGATGTTATGCCAGGAGCTGCACAAAAGTTGGCAGCTTTGATGATTTTATTAGCGTGAATACAGGATAGCTGAATTTTCAGAAATGACAGAGATAGATAAATAGTGTAGATTATTAACACAAACAAATGCTTACATAAGCAAGATTTTGAAAAAAAATTATGATCTGCCAGTTACAAAGTGCTGCTAAAATATTTCAGAGAACCAAAATTGCTAGGTACTTTCAAAATCTTCACCTAGATTATAATGAAACTAACTTTCCAACCAGATGAACTACAAGAATGAACTTGTTAAGAACTTAAGGAACTCTGGAATAAGGAAAATTTTCTGGTATGGCATTGCCTATGGTTAAAATAATACACATAGTTACATGATGACAGAGTTTCCCTTTCAGAGTCCAATACTTTTAAACCTACTAGACAGGTTTAGATCAGATGAGCCAGAAGTACTTCTTAGTTAAGTGCTTCCTGGGTCCAGTAATGTTCCCATAATGGGGTGAGATATGCGAACACACCAGGACCTGCTTTCCACAAAAGGAAACCTTTTTTACACAGCCTAGGAGCTATGCTGTACTCCAAATATACCTGAATTTGGTAACTGGAGACAAAGAAAGATCAGGGGTCACATTGAGATATGCTCCCATAGACATATTTAAATGTAGGCCACAGTAACTTAGACAACTTTAATAGCTAGAACTAGCTTGTAAAGCAACTTTACAAGCTAGAAGTCAGCTTGTCAAAGTTTGGAAACAGAAAGGTACCAATGTTCATGAAGGTCACATTTTGTACTCTTACATATGCAATCAAACAGCTCTCAGAAAATGAATGCAGGGAAAATAGTGGGAAAACTAGTGAAAACAAAGTTTTGTTGCCAAAGTAATTCATACTTCTCAGGTGTCATTTAGCATGTGCTCCCTCCCAGTCTTCATTTTTTAGATACCTCTGTAATACCAGTGGTCAACTGTTCCAATTAAGAAAATAAATTTAGAACGAAATAGAGCACCACGTATGTTCCAGAGAACTTTAGTATCATGTAACTCTTACTAAATACTGCTCATGTGAAAATAGAAAAACAAAGGTGCAGAAATCACCATGTAATTGAACAGTTAGTTAGCAGCAGAGTGTTTATATTCCCAAGATATGGGAAAGATGGACATTAGGGGTGAAATCTAGCCTCGCTGACATAGCACCTAAAGAAACAATTCTTCTCAAACCAGTGTCTTAATCCCCCATATCATCAAAGGCGAGAAAGGGATGCCACTGAAGGCTTCCAAAGGAGATCCTGCATTTGAAAGGGCAGGTACCTAAAGTAGGTCATCAGACCATATTTTTCGAGGTCAATAGATCTGTTGACTTTTAACTGAATGGTTCTTTGACTTTTAAGTGAATGGTTCCTTATGATTCTGGGCTTGTTTGGTTAAAGAGGACAGGAGCACAAACATGTTGAATGTCTCAATAAACTCTGACCTCTTCACTCTGCTTAAATCATCATAAACTTCAAAACTTTTGCAACCTTGATTTGAAGGTCCAAGAGATTTTAAGTTTATCCAATTTTTTTCAAAGGAATTATATTAATAGACAGATTTCCAACATAACCCTAAAATATCAAATAACCTTGCCTTCACATTTCTAACATACGAATGTTACATAAAAGCACAAAAGTTTGTGTTCTGTCTGTATCTCATTTATTAGAACTAAAGAAGGATAACAGGTAAAATGTAAATATCTGAATAAATATAAAATCAAATTATAAATATCTAGTGGTAAGGGAGAAATGCCTTTATAATGAAAACAGATCACCTTCAGTCAGGAGAGAAGATTTCTTGACTGTGCTAAATACCTCTACAACCAGATTAATTTAGTTACAGGCAGAAAAAAAAACCTAAAACAGGTAGACAAATTCAGATATCAGATATTTTTGAGATATCTCTACAATACTACAGTTCTGGCTTGCAGATTATTGGGTCTGTTCTGTGTGACTTCATTCCATTCTGTTCTGCGATTTGGCAATTCAGCTTCTGCAGAGGCAAAGTATCAAGCTTTGCAGCTGCCTTCAGATAATTTGCAGCATTTCAGTTCAAATGCTTAGATTTAAAAGTTGGAAGAACAGTCCCTTCTAATTATAGAAAGGAGTAATTTCTTCCTTGATATCTTGAGGAACGTTGCCATTAGATTAGCCTATGAAATACAAGAAATCAGAAAGCTGTGCGTTCTGTATGTAAATGCTTCAATTTGAGCACTGTTTTAATACTGATTTAGAGAGGGGGAGGAGAACTGAGAAGATAACACTGGCCACCAGCGGCCTTCTGGGTTCCCAGAGCTACCACAGTTGAGTTTCTCGTACATATTGACTTTATGACTTACCTTATAACATCTGACACCTTTACAATATTTATGACAGTTGTGAGTGCGCTTGAATTTATTTTATTGTTTAATATAGTTACCTTAATAACAGATGTCTCAACTCTGGATGGAGGACTCTGCACTTGTGCTGCTGCCGCCATATTGGCAATGGTACTAAGGTGATTCATCTGGCTCATTGCCATCGTGACAGATGCTGGAGGTAGGCTCACAGGAATTAACGGGTGGGGCATCATCATAAAAGGAAGTTCCAATCCTGGTGGAGGGGAAAAAAAAAAAAAAAAAGGAAATTTTTTTTTTTAAAACATTGGGTTTTTAGTTTTTTGGTTTTTTTTTCTCCTGAAGGACAATATAGAAGCGATGGGTGACAAGATGGTTCACACTGCAGGACAAAGCAGCTTTATGTCAGTTCTCTTCTGGGATATGCATGGGTAAATCACTAGCAACCATGGAGAGTTTCTAGCCACAAGGAGAGGCTATTAGACCTCTTAGTTTGTTCATATCAGTGTAATGTATGATATCATTGCTAAGAAATGGCTGTTTATTATCATTTTTAATATCTGCTGTAAGGTGCCTTAGCAATGCATTATTATGCCACTGATGCACAGGTTAGCAGTTATTTTAAGTATCAATTTTATTGCATACGTATTTGTTCTTTATTGCCTTCGCTTCCCTTGCTTAATACTTTAACGGAAGTATTCCAATATTCCCCACATCTTTGATTTTTCATAGCCTATTTATATAAACACAAAATAAAGACAGGAATTGGAAAACTGCTGATGTTAGTGCTGAAAGATGTCAACCCGTACCATTTGGCAGAAGGTGGTTCTGTTGAAGAGGGTTGAGAGGATGGCTAACTGGAACATTATGCTGTCCAGGCAAGTTGGGGTGGTTAACAGAGGCCTGTGATCCTTGGGTGGGGGGAGACTGAAGTTTTTCTTTATCCCAAGAACCATCACTGCTGCCTGTGGGGAATGAATATATATTATTTGGATGAAGGAAGACTCCAAATTTTCAGTGTCTGAATTTGCAAGCAAGGCCAGCAACCTAACCTGTTTTGCAAGTGGCATTTTTTTCATTTATTTATTTTTTACTGTGTGGGTTGGGGGAAGGACTTTTGGGGTTTTTTTATTCCACCCTCTGAAAAAGATACATTAGGATAACTTTTTAAACTTAAGAGTTAGAACACAAACCTAAAAGTATTATAGTTGTGCTCATTCACATGAAGCTTGTATTTGATGTATATTTTACATATACTTTTGCCAGTCTTAGCAAGTGAAACTATGTATGGCATTTGCTTTATACGTGAGAATATTTTTGCCTGAAAAATGTTTAAAAAAAAGAATGTTGCCTGTTATGCCAATTAAAATTTAAACTACATTCATATTTCTTCTTGTACTTATGAATAAATAAACATTATAGGAAGTAACTAAAAATTTAATTTGTTGAGGGCATCAACATGCATGTACATGTGCTTGGCTGATGATTCTATTTTTTGCATTTTCAATATTTATTTCATATTATTAATTAAAATGTAAGGGATTATTAATCGATTCCTGCAGTCTTCTGGTAGTGGAACAGACTAACAGCAAGGAAGAATGTGGACAAATCAGTGTTGAGACAAGCAGTAATTCATGTATTTGAGAAATACCCTTTTTCACTATTGCAGACCTCCTCATAAAAAGACACCCATACAATTAAATGGAAGGATACCGTTAAAGGACAATACTAAAAATTCATATAACGTTGTTAATTTGTACACTTGTATATAATAAAAAGTTTAAAATCTTCCAATCTGACGACTTATATTATTCATGGTGCATATTCATGTATAATGCTGAGATTGAGTACATGTATGTTTATGCCTACAAAGTAATCTATACACTCATTGTATGAGTTTATTTACCATACACAATCAATAAACATTGTTTGAATATATTAATAAATATGTATATATGCATGCGTTCTCAGCAGTATTACTATACACATCAGCAATATATGATTGCTTCCTTTTTCATATAGAGCACAATTTCACCCTCCTGACTTTGAAAATTTCTACTATTTTCATGGGAATTTCTCTTGATAAGGACTTCAGGATAACATCAGTCAAGACCTATTTAATCTACACTCAATTTCTATTTAGCATTAGGGATTACAACGAAGTGTATATTTCTGAATGTTTTTCTATATACATCTTACTACTTAATGAACAACAGGGCCTGAAAAACAACAGGACTAATACCACCTCCTCCTTACTTCAGTAGAAACAGGATTAGCACATTAGTCTTGACATTTTTTAACATCGTTTTCATGGGATGACAAAGGCACAAAAGTTGGTAGAATTCCAATTTAATTTCTCTAGATCTATTAAAAACCTGATTGTAAAAGCTGTACAACATAGTTTATAATGAAAAATACTCCATTATTGCCATGATTTTCTTTCC